GTATCTGTACATTTGTTTTCCTTCTACAAATGGAAGCCACAGAGGAAAGCAGACTATAGAGTCAAACTGAGTTCAGATCCCATCTCTTACTGGCTGTGTGCTTTGTGGCAAATTACCTAACCTCTCTGTCCTTCAATTTCCTCATTTTTGAAAGAGGGATAAATAATATTATCTAGTTCTTAGGGCTGTTATGAGAATTAAGTGATTGCTATATGTCAAGTATTTAAAACTGTCTGGTACATACTAGATGTTATATAAGTATCAGTTCTAATTTTTACAAGGACTTTATTTAAATATATTTTATATATCAAAATCCATTTACTTCAAGTATACAATTCAATGATTTTAATAACATTACTGAGCAATACAATAATCACCATAAATCAACTTTAGAATAATTTCACCTCCTATAAGATCACTTGTGCCCATTTAGAGTTATTTTCTGATCCCCCCCCCCCAATTTAGGCAATCATTAATCTTTCTTTTTTGTAGACATTTCATATAAATGGAATCATACAATATTTGGTCTCTTGTGTCTGGCTCCTTTCACTTCATAAAATGCTTTCGAGGTTCATTTATGTTGTAATATATGTTAGCAGTCTGTTCCTTTTTATCGCTAAGTAGTATCCTATTGTGTGGATGTACCACATTCTGTCTGTCAGTTGATGGACATTTAGGTTGTTTCAAACTTTTGGCAATTATGAATAATGTTGCTGTGAATATTTCCATGTGAGTCTTTATATGGACATATTTTATTTATTCATAAGTATTTTATTCCATTTATACCATTTTAAATGAAATTTCATTCTCAATTTGATTAGAAGTGCAATTGATTTTATATGTTGATCTTATATCCGATTGCCTTGTTGTATTTCTAATAGATTTTTTGTTTTGTTTTGTGGATACTTTAAGATTTTCTATATACAAGATTATGTCACGTGAAAATAGACTAGTTGTTCTTCTACCTTTCGAGCCTGGGCAATACAGTGGGATACCATCTCAAAAACAAACAAAAAAGTATCCAAGTATTAATGTTTTATTATATATTTCTCTCTTGAATTATGTCAATTTTAACTCATATATCTAATCCTCTTTTATTAGGAGCATATATATTAAAAATATCTTTTCTTATTGAGTTGGCCCTTTCATCACTATAAAATGTCATTCTTTAGTTCCAATAACAATTCTTTTTGTCTTAAAGCATGAGTGTCCAAACTTTTTGCTTGCTTGAGATACACTGAGTGAAGAAGAATTATGTTGGCCACATATAAAATATATAACATATTTAGTGTATAAATAATAAAACTTCTATTTTAATATTTTAATTTATTAAGTTATTATATGAAAAAATAGAGGTCCAAATTTAATGAATACACTTTCATGTCTCCTTAATAACAATAAACACCTGTCTTCATAAACACACACATGTAGATAGGTTGAAATATGATTGTGAAAAATCACTGTGTTTTAGTTGCCAAGTTGCACAAGCACATGAAATATCTGATATAGGCGGGTTTCAATTTGACTGACTGTGGCAGGAGCAGGAGATAAAGTTAGCACTGAACTGTACCTTCTCGTACACAGCCTTTCATTGTTGCCTACACAGACTGTGCTTGAGTACTGTGCATTGGAGTAATGAAAAATATTGCTGAAAATCACATAACAACGTTAAAAATTTGTGATCCTGTGGGGCCACATGTGGCCATATATAGACTGTCCAGGGCCACATATAGACTGTAGGGCATAGATTGGACATGTCTGCTCTAGAGTCTATTTAGTCCACTATTAATGAAGCTACTCCAGCCTTTATTTTTCTTGTTGGTTACTGTTTGCATATCTTTCTGTATATACTGCTTCTGTATTTTTTTATACTTTAACTTTTAACCTATTTTGGTCTTTGAATATCAGATGTATCTCTTGTAAAGAGACACTGTGGTTTTTTGTTTTGTTTTGTTTTTTTGGTATCGGGGATTGAACTCTGGACTTTGTGCTTGAGAGGCAGGTGGTGGAACCGCTGTGCTAAATCCCTGGCCCTGAAATGTGTTTTTAATGCATTTTATCTTTGTGTTTTATTTGAAGAGTTTACTCCATTTACATTTAATGTAATTACTAAGAAAGAAGTGACTTTTGACATTTAGCTACTTGTTTTCTGTATATCTTACAGCTTTTACTGTACCTCTTTTTGCCATTACTTTCTTCTTTTGAGAAAAATAGACATACTGTAGTGTGCTATTTTAATTACTTTAAGGTTCTTTCAGTCACTTTGTTGTCTTTTATATATCTTTTGAGTTATTTTCTTAGCATTTGTCCTAAGGATTATAATTACCATCTTAAAACAATCTGTTTCAAATTAATAACTTAATTACAATAATAAATATAACCTTCGCATCAATATAGCTCCATTCCTTCTTTATTTCTTTTTGCTAGAATTCTCACAGAAATTTCATCTTTACATATTATTGATCCATCAGCACAATTTTATAACTATTTCTTTATGCAACTTTAAATTATAGAACACAAAATTTACAAAAATGTACTTGTACTATCTTTTCATTATAATATTCCTTTAATTTTTAAGAATATGCCATGTCTTTAAACATACTAATTATGATTGTCAATGTTTTTATAACACTCTAGTTATGTAATATAAAGATTTTAAGTAATTTTTCCCATGAACCCCATTCTTTTTCAATAAGCACTATTATTTTTTGTGAGCAGTTTTGTAAAATACAAGTTTGGGCTTTTTTTCAGGAACAAATAATGTCTATCACAGCAAAAAAGACTAATGAGAGTATATATTTAGAACTTCAAGCTAATACAATTTGTTCATGGACTTAATGTTAGATGGAAGAACAGGAGAGAAGTCATTGATGATCCAAAGCTTTTTGGCCTAAGCAATTAGAATACTGGAGTTTCTAATTGCTCAATTGAAGCAGGTATATGTGAGAAGCCCAGTTTGAGGGAAAGGGTAAAGCATTTCATTTTGGAAGGGTAAATTTTGATGTCTATATTAACACTCAGGTGAAAATGTCAAGCAGTTTATTGTGTATATGTTTGGAATACAATGCAAGCTAGAGATATACATTTGAACATCATCAGTATGTAGCTGATATTTAAAAGCGTTGGGAATACAGGAAATAATTCAGAGAGTGAATATTGACACAGAGAAAAGGAGGTCTAGGCCTGGGTTGTGAGACTTTCCCATAGTTATTGATTGGAAAAGTGAAAATTCAGCAAGGGATTCTGAAGAGTGCCATGTAAGATAGGTGGAAAATGCTCAGAATGTCATATCTCAGAAGAGAAATAATAAGAGTGTTGTTGTGGCTTGTGTGTAGATGTCTCCCACAAAGCCTCATGGAGTCTGTTTTTAGAGTTGGTTGAATCTGTAGAGTGTGTGATTGATTCATGGTGCAATGCTTAAGGCTTAAGGGCACTAGGATTAAGGGTGTGAGTGCTACCTGCCCTAATCCTGGTAGTCTGAATAATATAAAAGGAGCAGAAAGACGCTGTTGAGGTTTCCTTGTTTGCTTGCTTTTGCTGTCTTCTGCCACTATGAACTGTTGCTCCTCTGCCATGTGCCACCCTCCCTTGGACCCAGCTGATTTTGGACTGAAACTTCTACAAACTGTGAACTAAATAAACTCTTTCCCCTTTAACTTTGGATGTTGGGTATTTTGTCTTAGCAATAAGAAAAACAAATAAGATAAGTATTTTAAGAAAAGGATGTGAACAACTGGGTCAAATGCCTAGACAGATATGTGGAGTGGGGACTGATAATTACCCATTGGATTTATCCACATAGAAATTATTTTGACTTGACGAGAGCTGTTTCTGTAAAATGGTAGGTATGAAAGCCTGATTGAAGTGAATTCTGAAAACACTAGCAGGAGAAGAGGAGGACAAACAGGCATGGTTGAACTTTTCTTGGAGATGTGCTGTAAAGAATAATGAAGAAATGGGGCAGAAGCTGGAGAGGGGATGTGAGGTTGAAGGAAGGTGTCTTTGCTTTAAAATTTTTTATTTTTTAATGCACATTTTATTTTTATTAGTACATGTTTGGATGACAATATGCCTCATGGGGAGTTGGTACATGTACATAACAAATTTTAATACTTTTTCATCCCCTTCCCTCTCCTCTTTCCCCTCTCCCTCCATCCCTTGGGCACCTTCCCCTATGTAGAAGATCTGTCTTCCTATTTCCTATTATCTGTCTTTTATTTTGTTCTTTAATTTATTTATATTTTTTGCTCTTTATTCAAGAGAAGCCATGTGATATTTAAACTTGTGTCTCTGCTTTATTTTATCTAACATTAAGTGTTCAAAATGCATCCATTTTCCTACAAATGACACAAGATTATCTTTGTTTAGGGCAGAGTAGTGCTTCATTGTCTATAAATACCATATTTTCTTTATCCATTCATCTGTTTACAGACATATAGAGCACTTCCAAGATTTAGCTGTTATGAATTGTGTTGTTATAAATATGGGTATGCATGTATCACCATTAATGTTATGACTTCTCTTTTGGGAAGATACCTAGAAGGGGAATAGCTAGGTTGAATGGAATTTCCATTTTTAGTTTTCCGAGGAATCTCCATACTGATTTCCATAGTGGTTTTATTAGTTTACATTCCCACCAATAATGTAGAAGCGTTCCTTTTTTCCCATAACCCCACCAGAATTTATTGTTATTTGATTTCTTGATGATAGCCATTCTTTCTGAAGTTAAGATGGAATCTCAGTGTTTTAATTTGCATCTCTCTAGTGGCCATACATGGTGAATATTTTTTCATGTATATATTGGCCATTTTTACTTCTGAGAAATGTCTATTTATATAGTTTTTTTTTTTTGGTACCAGGGATCAAACTCAAGACCTTGCATTTGCCAGGCAGGCGCAGTGCCACTGAGCTAAATCCCTTACCCTATAATCACCTTTTTTATTGGATCTTTCATCTTGGGAGGTCTTTTTTTTTTAACTTTACTGACATTTATTAATGTTTTATTTTCCTATTTGATGTCCCAAAAAGGGGGGTAGAGCCAAGCGTTTTCTTTCACTTGGTTTTAGAATTGTATCCACTTCCTCTCTAGTCTAAGACTTTTCCATAAGAACAGTCACTTGCACCCGACTTCTACTGCATGGCTGGAAAAGTGGATATGCAGTGACTCTCTCAAGCTCCCCGATGTCTTTCTGTGCTCTCCCACACTTTTCACATGTAGGTGGCTGGCTCTGGCTTTTTCTCAGGATTCTTTCCTTGAGTGTTTGCTGTATAAGTTCTCTCCCTCAAATCATGCGTTCCTGGTGATCCTTAATTTGTATCTGTTCTCTTTCATTTACCTGCTTTCGTCTCTGTGCTTTCTGGATACCATGCTTTTCTGGCGTAGCTTTTGGTAACGTTTCACTGATGGGTTGTGGCTGTCTAAATGTTCTGTTCTTAAATCCTTTGGCCTGGCCTGTTTGATGTATGTGCCTTTCTATCTGTTTCCTCTCTCTCTTGGGTATTACATAGTAATGCTTTTGTTCCTCTATGCTTTGGGTTGTTTCCTCCTCCATTTTCATCTTCATTTCATTGCCCATTGCCTCTTTTTCCATTATGTCCATTATTCTTTTATTATAGTAGGACTCTGCTTTGGCAAGCCAGTAGGCAAGAGAACGAGCCTGCTCCCTACAGAGTGTTTCATACTCCTCTTGATATTTCTGAGTTATCAAGTATCTTGCTGCTGTTGTATACATCCCACCTAGGTTCAAGATCTTTTTCTCCAGTGGGGACTGTTGACCTGCAGCAACCCTAGGGTCTTTCGATGTTTTAGCCCAGGCCAATTCACGGTCACAGGACCAGGGCGACAGCGGTATCTCAAACTCCCTTTGAACGTTCGCCTTTCCCTGGGCTGTGTGACCGGGAGGTCTTTTTAAAAAAATTCTTTATTAGTCCTCTGTCCGAGGTGTAGCTAGCAACATTTTTGCCATTCTGTAGGTTGTCTTTACTCTGTTGGTTGTTTGCTTTGTGGTGCCTCAGCTTTTTAATTTGATATGATCCCATTTGTTGATTCTTGGTATTAGTTTTTATGTAATTGGGGTTCTGTTTAGAAAGCCCTTGCCTATGCCTATGTCTTCATGAGTTTTACCTATTGTATCTCCAGGATATTAAATATTTTAACATTTATATCTTTGATCAATTTTGATTTTAGTTTAGTACATGGTGTGAAATGTGGGTCTAGATTCAGTGTTCTGCATGTGGATACCAGTTTGCACATAACCTTTTGCTAAAGCGGCCATCTTTCCTCCTGTGTATGTTTTTGGCCCCTTTGTCAAAGTTCAGATGGATGAATGTGCCTGGGGTTGTTTCTTCTATCTTCTACTCTATTGATCAACATGCCTGTTTTTGTGCTGTGGGGTTTTTTTTTGGATAATATAATGTGAAGTTTTGTATTGTGTTGTGCTTGCTCTGTTCTTGTTGCCCAGGATTGCTTTTACTATTCTGGGTCTCATTTGGTTCCATACACATTTTAAGGTTGTTTTCTCTAGTACTATGAGGAATAGAATTGGTATTTTGACAGAGATTTCATTAATTCTGACTGTCAGTTTTGGAATTATGGCCATTTTGACAATATTGGTTTGGCCTATTCAGAAACAGGAGATGTCTTTCCATTTTCTGATGTCCTCTTTGATCTCATTTTGCAGAGTACTGGAGTTTTCATTTTAGAGGTCTTTCAATTCCTTGGTTAAGTTAATTCCTAAGTATTTAAATTTTCTTGATGCTATTGTGAATGGTATTATTTTCCCAATTTCTTTTCCAGTGAGTTCATTATTACTGTATGGGAACACTATTGATTTTTGTGTGTTGATTTTTTGTCCTGCTACATTGCTTAATTTGATGATGAGTTCTAGGAGTCTTTTGGTGGAATATTTTGCAGCTTGGAAGTAGAGCATCATGTTCTTTGCAAATAATGATACTTTGACTTCATCCCTTTTTATACACATTTTTTTCATTTCTTTCTCTTGCCCGATTGCTCTTGCCCGAGTCCTCAATGTTTTTGAGGACTATGTTGAACAAGAGTGGTGATTGTGGATGTTTTTGTCTTGTTCCTCATTTTATGGAAAAAACTTTGAGCTTTTCCCGAGGCATTATATTGGTTGTAAGTGGCTTTTATCAAATTAATATAAGGTCCTTCTCTACCTATTTTATTCAGGGTTTTTATCGTGCATGAATTTTGTCAATGGCTTTTTCTGTGTCTACCGAGATGATCATGTGATTTTTGTCCTTACTTCTGTTTATGTGATGTTTGACATTTATTGATTTGCACATATTGAAGCATCCTTGTATCCCTGGGGTGAATTCTACTTGGTCATGATATTTGATCATTGAGATATTTGATAATTGATTTTTCCAGAATCTTGTTGAGGATTTTTGTGTCTATGTTCATGGGCTTGTAGTTTTGTTTCTTAGCTGGGTCCTTTTCTGGTTTTGGGGTCAGGGTAATGTTAGATTTCAAGAAGGAATTTGGGAGTACACATGCTCCTATTTTATTAAAAATTTTGAAGAGTATTAGTGATAGATCTTCTCTGAATTTCTTGTAGAATTCAACAGAGAATTCATTGCATCCTAAACTTTTCTTAGTTGGTAGGATTTTTATTACTTTTTCAATTTCATTGCCTGTTATTGGATTATTCAAATCTTTTATATCTTCTTGATTGTTGTGATAATTTAAAAGTATTTAGACATCTATCCATTTTTTTCTGGATTTCCAATTTATTGGAGTACAGCTTTTTAAAAGTAGTTACTAATAATCTTCCGGACTTCAGTGATGTCCATTTTGATTTCATCATTTTCTTTCCTAATGACATTAATTTGAATCTTTTCTTTCCTTTTTTGGTAATATTAGCTAAGGGTTTTTCTATTTGGTTAATTCTTTTGAAGAACAAACTCTTTGATTCATTATACCTTTGTGTGTGTGTGTTTGTGTGTGTGTGTGTGTGTGTGTGTGTATTGTTTGTTTTTTAGTCTCATTCATACTAATTTCTGCTCTGGGTCTTAAAATTTCTTTCCTTGTACTACTTTTGGATTTGGATTGTTTTTGTTTTTCCAGGTCCTTGGGGTGCATATTAGGTTATGGATTTTGGCTGGCTCTGTTTTTCTGATGTGGACATTACAGAAGTATAAGCTTCTCTCTTATGACTGCTTTAATTTTATGCCATATCTTCTTTTAGGTTGTGGTGGCATTATCATTTTTATCTAGAATCTGTCTAATTTCTTCCTTGATTTCATCTATGACCCATTTATTATTCAAGGGAGTATTGTTTAATATCTATAGGTTTGCATAATTTCTGTGGTTTCTTTTGCCATTGATTTCTAGTTACATCACAGTATGATCTGATAATATGCATGGAATAATTTGGATTCTTTTGCATTTATGTAAGCATGCTTTAGGGGCTAGTATGTGGTCTATTCGGAGAAAGTTCCATGTGTTGCTGAAAAAAATATGCATTTTGTTGTTGAGAACAATATGCATCTTGGTACCTGTTAAGTCTATTTGTTCAAAAGTTTGCTTCAGCTTTCATATTTCTTTGTTGATTTTTTTTCTAGTTTAACTGTTTGTGGCATTGGGATAATGTAGCCTTCAATGTAATTGTGTTTATGTTTCCCTGATTTTTTATATCAAGTGGGTTTGTTTTATAAAGCTTAGAGTCCCAGTGTTTGGTGCATATACATTTATAATTATTACCTCTTCCAGTTGAACTTTTTTTTACCCAATATACAGTGACCTTATTTGCCTTTTCTGATCTGTTTTTGCTGGAATTCCATTTGAAAATAGGAGTTACTCCTGGTTGTTTTCAAGTTCCCATTGTATGGAAGATTGTTCTGCATCCTTTGACTTTTTATATGTGAATTTCTTTTTGGATTAAATGTATTTCTTGTGTACAGCATATCATTGGGTTTTGTTTCTTTATTCTGTCAATTTCTTTTAATTGGGGAATTGAGATCACTCATATTGAGAGTTATTACTGAAAGATATTGATTTATTTCTGTAATTGCATTATTTTCCTGTTGATGATTCCCTTTTATTCCCCTTATGGTTAATTGCTCACCCTTTCTGGTGTATTCATTCCAGTAGACTTTTTGGCATTGTTGCCTTCATTGTCCCTTTCTAGGATATCCTTTAGAACTTTTCTGTAGTGTTACTTTGGTGGTCTTGAATTTTTAAGGTGTTCTTTGTAACACAAAGATCTTATTTCTCCATCAATTTTGAAAGATAATTTTGTAGTGTATATCAATCTGGGTTTGAAGTTGTTTTGTTTTAGGATTTGATACACTTCACTCCAAGCTCCCCTGGGCTTTTAGATTGGTGTTAAAAAGTCAGCTGTAATTCTAATGGTTTTACCTATATAAGTGATTTTTTAACTTTTCTCTAATAGTTTTTACTATTCTGTCTTTCTGTTGGACTTCTGGAATTTAGACTATGATGTGTTGTGAAGAAATTCTTTTTTGATCATGGCTATATGGTATTCTCTATGACTCATTCACCTGTATGTTAAATTTTTTCTCCATATTTGGAGAGTTTTCTGCTATTATTCCTCTAAACAGGTTTTTATATAATTTGTGCTGCCTTCTGATTTTTCAGTAATTCCAAATAATTTTACATTAATTTTTTGTGCTGCCTAGCAGCACTTGGATCCTTTTACATGTTCTCTTGTTTCTATGGTATCTTTGAGTAGATGGTCACTGGCATCAACCCTGTCTTCTAATTCTGACACTCTGTTCTCACACAGTAATATTATATTATATATGTTTTTAATAGAATTTTTAACCTCCTGGATTTCTGTTTGGAATCCTTTCTTGGACTCTAATTCTTCGCTAAACTGGTCATTCATGTTTTGTATCATTTTGTTTAGCTCAGCTAGATATTTATTAGTGTGTTCCATAAACTCACTGAACATTTTGTCTATTGTCTATTTTTATTTCTATCTTCTTTGCACTTGCCAAGAACTTTATTAATGTAGATTTTTTTTATCTCTTCTTTCATCATTTAAAATAATTTTGAATAGATCTTTTCCTCTGTGGTAATGTGGTACTGGAAATCCTGAAGCCCATTTGTTTTGAGGCTTAAACAATTAACTCCTTTCCCAAATGGCTCCTAATTAAACTCTTAATTATGGCAGGTACTGCAATGGATTTCTTCTCCAATTCCAGCTTGCTATGCAAAAGGAATCACTCTCAGAGGAAAATCTCACACTGTTTTTTTTTCGCTTTGCACTAGGAGCTTTATTGAGGTATAATTGTGGTGCAATAAATTAGACACATTTAACACAAATTTGTGTAAGTCTCCACATTATACACTAATGAGTCTATCACCACAATCAGGGAAACGGGCATATTACATCACCCACAGGTTTCATTAAGCCTTTCCTTTTGCCTCTCCTGGTCTTTCCTCTCTTTGTTCCAGGCAACTATAACAATTGATAAGTTCGCATCTTTTATAATTTTGTAAAAATAAACATTTATTGTATGTACTTTTTCTTCTGTTTCCTTTTTTTGCTCACTATAAATGAGATTCATTCATATTGTTTTGCATGGTAATAATTTATTCATATTTTATAATTGTATGGATAAGGGAATATTTACTAATTTATGAATCAATAAAATTTTGAGTTGTTTCCACTTTGGGTCCACTGTAGATAAGTTTGTTATAAACAGTCGCGTGTAAAACATAATATTTTTATAATGCTATGATTTCATTTCTCTTGGTTAATAAAATAGGTGCATGCTTAATTTAAGAAACTGTGGAATTGTGTTTTTTTTTCCCTTAAATTCTTTTATTGGTGCATTTTAGGTAAACAATACCTTTACATTTATTATTGGGTGCTTGTACCTGTACATGATGTATTTTGGTTCTTATTTTTTCCCCATTCCCTGTGTGCCCTTCCCTATCTCACACTGTTTTTGCAGTTTATAGTAACCATAGGCTTTTCTTGGGGCTAGTGCTGCTGGCCCAGTCCATTGTTTCTCCCTGGATCCATTAGTTACTTTCTCATTACTGGAACAAAATACCCACAAGTTAAAGGAGGAAAGGTTTATTTTCACTCATAGTTTGTGGAAGTTTCAGCCCATAGTTGGCTAGCTCCAAGAAAGGGCAGTATGGCAGAGGGGCATGGCAGAGGAGAAACAATCCCTGACAAGGCAAGCAGGTGACATCAGGCAGCAAGAAGCAGCCACTTTCCTTCTGTCCCTTTATATTCCATTCAGGCCATAAGCCTATTGATTGGTTCCTCCCACACCC